TCACGCAAGTATTTTGTCACTCAACGTTATACATAGCAAGGACTTTTAACGTTTGACCGTGGTTTACGGTATAATTTCCGCTGCATCAACATCACATCAAACGGGAGGACGCAGCCACTCAGGGGCGTGTGCGATGAAAATTTGAACGATAAATACGCTTTCTCAACTGAGCTATTCACTTCGCAATTTACTCTCGAGGGCGAAAACATCATATCAACTCCAAGAATCCTGTCCACCAATTAACATGAGATCCTGCTGGATCCTAGCCGCAGCGATTATCATCCCCCTGGTAATCACTGAAAATTCTTCCGCTCTCCAGGGTATGAAGCAGAAACCCACATCTTCTTTGAACACGGTGACCTCAAGCGATATCAGTAGGTTTTCAAAAGCCCGGGTTCTCGAGAACAGCAAGGATTTGGGGAAAGAAAATGAAGCGCGAGCAGGGCCTAACCTTGACAGGGTGGTTTCGGACCTACTTGACGATGCGGTCAGAGTTGCCAAGCTATCAAGGACAAAGTCGCTATCTGCTCTCGACGAACTTGAGGCGCTAATGGAGAGTCACAAATCGATCAAGGCAAAGCTTAGACCGCTGCTTGAGGATTTTGCGACAGTTGAGAAACTGACCCCAACTGAAGCTGCGACCAAGTGGGGCATTAGGACGCTATTCAAGACGAAGTCGATGGAGGAGCTGGCTAACCACCCGGACTATTTGTTATGGAAGGTATACACGAAGTACTGGAACAAATACCACTACTCGCCAGCTTAGTCACGTTCTCCGCTACCGAAACAAAACCAGCGACAACAGCTATTAGCAGCTGCACTCCAACTCTCCACTTTGACAAAAGGTTTTTCTCTGGACTCTACAATAGTGATTGAAATACAAAGTCTTTGATATGAGCTCAACGTTCTAAATTCGCCACATTATCAGTGCTAATGTACCACTAGGGAGTACTGTATCAATACCAAGCTGGTCAGCGTTTAAAAGAGATTACACGCTACAACGAAGTTTGTGATGGAATAAATTCGTTCTCTTGCCATGTCGAACACAGCGACGCTGCGTTCGCACATGATTTATTGTGCGCTTTGAAATTCATATTCCAACTACAAGAACTGACACAATGATCTGCATCGTTTCAACGTTCGCGCTGAAAAGTGGATATATCTCAAAACGTGAACACTTCGAAAACAGTATCTCAACAGGGGTTGGATTTGTAGCAGTCCGCAAAATGATACATGCCTGCAGAAGTATCCAATTATTTTTGTTTACAGGATCCACGAGGAGGGACTCGATTTTCAATACTCTGGATGTAGACTTTTCGGGAATACTATCGTGTGCATCGTGGTGTTGCTTTTCTAACGTTCAACTTTACACATACTTAAATAAGTACACAACGTGAATTCTGTGCATATCCTAATACCCATCTTGTTTATAATGGCATGAATATTAGAGCTTAGGTCCGACCGGAAATGTAACAACAAAGTCGTGCTGCACACGAAGAAGCTTGAAATTTCGAGCATAGCATGTTTACTGCAGCTCAAGTGTTTGGATTTATATTATTTGTCTTTTACAGCGATGTGCTACTGTGTGACGGCTATCTACAGTGCTACCACAACTACAGCCAGCAGGAGAGGTTGATACGACTCCTGCCCGACTGTAATTGCGGTAGCACTGTAGATGACCGTCATACAATGGAGTGTCTTGGGCAGACTTCGCGTTTTTCTTTTCTAGAGAATGAGGTCAGTGTATATGGTTTCGTTGTGCTGTACCTGAACTGAAGGCCCATCTTGTGCTGTGTCATCCCCATTTCTTACGTCACACACTTGGCCCATGACGACAACGCTTCAAAGCGCTGCAACACCTTCGACAGGTCGCTACAACAATCGAGAATTAGTCGCCATATTAACTCAACTACTTGCTTTATAGTAGATGTTGTGGAATGAACTGATAACTTCCCGGGGGATTTAACGCGAGCCCCGTAGGTGATATATGAAGTCAGCATACAGTCTCTTGTTTGCGTTGTTTCTCTCCTTCATTTTCTGTCGACTGTGAGGACACCAATGCGTTATTCTCGTGTATTATGCTTAAGTTCTTTGACGGCCTGTTCCTAAGTAAACTGTAATAGTCCTGGTAAAAAGTGGCGAAAATTGTCATGATTCGGGCTCCAAAGCTCGTCACACTTCGGGTAGTTCTGCTGAAGAGTAAATATAGACACAGGACCCAACACATCCCGGTGTTCAGGTCACTTCTTGTTAAGCGTAGCATCGGAAGGCATTCATCAGAATAAATTATTTTCGACTTCCGTAATTTACCGATGATGTTGCACTTGGCCACCACAAGCAACTCGAGTTGTGCACGGGTATGAGATATCAAGGTATGAAATACTTGATTAAATTAAAGATCTTGTTTCAGATACGAGCAACAATCACGTCTACCAAATTCTCTGGATTTTATATCCAGCGGGATCCGAGCAACGTACCAATGCGCCCATAATTAAATCCCCTTTGAATCGGATCAGGTACAAGTTGAATTTGCATTTTAAAAAACTCTTTATATATCCTGTAAATATTTATAAAATTTATGCGTGTTGACCCATCCAGGTCTAGGGTTCGTTCAAGCAACACT